ACGCTGAATTATCGTTGCCCTTTTGGGATGCTCTTTCAAAGACTGTTTGAAGCCTTTGTTGTCTAACAGTGAAATCCCAGGAAGATTAATTTAGCCACTTGGCTTGTGGAAGATTCTGGCTAAAATGAGAGAGCTTTTGAAGCCAGAGAGCCTGGCCTCATTGACCAGCCTTTTCAGTCACGAGGTAGGGCATATTCCAGGGAGGAAGAATGTCTATTTCTTTTTATCAATTACTTCCTTAAACTTCAATGCTGTTGGTACCAGTTCCTGTCAAGTCAGTATGGGCTTATGGAAACTCTGCATGTGTCAGAGTAGCCCTAGGTTGTGCACACACTCCATGGCTATAGTCATCCTGGAACGAGATTGCCAGGCCTTTCTTCTGAGGCACCTTAGGGTGGACTCCAGCCTTCAACCTCCAACCTTCTAATTAGCAGCTGAACATAAGGAGCATTTGCACCATCAGCTCTGCAATTGTGTGCCATCGAACTGCTTCTCACTTATAGAAACCCATATGGCAAAGTGACACTGCTGCACAGGATTTCCTATACTTGATAATCTTTACAGGAACAGGTGGCCAGGATTTGTTCTCCTCAGAACTACTAATTAGTTAATATTGCTGAGATTTCAATTAGCAGCTTAACTGCAGCACCGCCAGGTCTCAGTCTAGATGAACTAGGGTCTGTCTAAAGACCTCTCACTTGTGTGAATATTTGCCTTCCTGAAAGCTATTCTCTGGCTCTTCTCACACCACCCTCAGCGGGTTAACAATGCATCTTCGTGAATGCGTTCTTTTCTCTCAAACCTGAATGATTTAGATTTTGTTTGTTCATTTCTCAGACATTTGGTTCCAGGCCCCAATTCACACAGTCATTTCAATGTGTGTTGAATGCCATGCATGTACCCATTATTGCCCTGCGTGTGGTGTGGAATTCACTGCTACTCCAGGAACCTGCTTTCTGAGTCCTGAGAAACAGGGAAGAGGCATGAGGGTGGGGAGCCTGTGAAGTGCACAGTGCAGGGCTAGTAAAGTGAGGCATTGTTAGGTCCTAGCAATCTTTTCAGTGCAATTGCTAGGGTGTGAGTTTCTCCGGAATCATAAAAAATATTTCTGTTTTAAAAGCAGCAAGAGGGCTCATTTATTTCATAAGAAGTTAGGCTTGTCAATAGCTCGATGCCAGAATCTTTCAAGATTGTTTGACCACTGCAAACAGTGGAGATCATGTAAGCTCCACATGTGCTCATCCATAGCCTAGATATGTGGTGATAAAGATTTGGCATACAGGGTATCTGCCTTCAGGTTCCTTAAAGTTTCATGGAGGTGGCTAGACCAAAATAAACACAGATAATGCAGAAGTAATAAAATGTTTGCAACACAACATAAACAGGCATGAATTCCTATGTTGTAATGAAGTTACAAAAATAAGGAGCAGGTTAAAAGTAAGGAGGCCACCAGAGTTGGACAGAACTTTCAGGAATGGTGAAAGTAAAGTTGCAGGAGATTTTGCAAGAGGATTATGGAAACATATCTATAACAAGAGGCCTAGTGCTCTAAGTACTCGGTAAACAAATGTTGTGTATGTAGACATGGAAGTAGGATAGGATCCACTTTGCTGTTGGTCTACTCAAAGTTGTGTGTCTGGAGGAATTGGCATAACATCATGCTCATTGCTGTTGAGTTAGTTCCAACTTACGTGTCCCAGAAGAGGCATGCTTCATTGGGTTTTCAGTTATTGGCTTTTGGGAAGTATATCACAAGTGTTTCCTCTGAGACTCCTCTAGGTTTGCTCGAACTTCCCAATTTTTGGTTCACTAGCTGAGCACGTGAACTGTTTCTCCCACCCAGGGGCTCTTAAAGGTGATGGCAAACAATGGTATGATCTAAAATCCTAACAACCATAGAGTTTCAAATTGTTCTGAAAGCCTGCATCTCTGTATTTTACATGACACAGAATAAAAGGAATTTGTGCTGATTCTTTTTCTTCTTCTTTGTCAAGGATTCCCTCTCACTCAACAGGCAGTATCTTGAAATAAATAATTTTAATACTGGATCTGCTGGTAGAACTCATAAAGCTCATTACCATTGAGTTGAATACCCAGGACCCTCCGTTGGGTTTCCCAGGTTGTAAATTGCTTGGGAAGAGATTTATCATTTTTTCCTCCAGAGATCCACTAGTGAATTTGAACCACCGAAGAGAGTCAGACTTTGGGTTAACAATGCAGTTCTACAAACTCTAGTGTAGCCAGTTGTGGATATAATTTTGTTTGTTGATATTCTTTCACCAGAAGTTGGCTAGAAAATGTGTTTGGTCCTAAATGTGACAAGTCAAAGCCTAGAAGGTAAAAAATGATGCCTGGGTATAGTAGAGTGTTGGATGCCAGACTTCCAAGGGGCGGGGGAGTACATGGGCAAACTGCTTAACATTAGGAGCTATTTTCTTGGATCATGCAGTTAAAGTGTATGCAAGCCCAACAGCTTTCTCCAGGCACCAACTGTCATGAGCTTGTTCCAATTCATAACCATCTAGGATTTTCCAACGCTCTGTCAGCTTTCAAAAGACAGGGTTAACTGCGTGCCCTCAAATGGAGTTGGAAACGGTTTGCTAATCTCTATTAATCTGCTACCCCTGTAACCAAATGCACATGTTTGTTCTTCACCACCCCCCTCCTCTAGTTAAATTGCTAATGATATTAAATTGGCTCTTGGAAACAAAACCATTCTGTAGATATTTCCCTTATGGTTTCTTGGGACTATCTCATGCTGTGGTCTTTCTTTTTTTTTTTTTTTTTTTTTAAGAGAACAATGGATTTTATCATTTTCAATGATTACTCTAACTTTTTACAGATGCCATCCCTCCTACATTCTACAGACCCTACTTCAGAATTGTCCGATTTGATGTCTCAGCAATGGAGAAGAATGCTTCCAATTTGGTGAAGGCAGAGTTTCGAGTCTTTCGTTTGCAGAACCCAAAAGCCAGAGTGCCTGAGCAACGGATAGAACTGTATCAGGTAACTTTTCTTTGGGTTGTTTTAAAGAGCAATACAGTTTAAGGTCTTAGAATAAAAGACTTTTCAACTGTCTTAGATTTCTCCCCCTCCCCCCCCGAATTATCTGATATAAACAGGTCTGTACATCCACACTCATAATAAAGCCCAGATGCCATGATGTCTGTGCTGATTCAGGATGACCCCCTGCTTGTCTGTGTGGAATTATGCTCTATAGAATTTTCAGTGGCTCATTTTTCAGTAGGATTTCACTAGCTTTTTTCTCTTGAGATGCCTTTGAGTAAACTGGAACCTCCAAATCTTTTGCAGCACCCGAATAATCCATTATTGTTATATATAAAATAATCATATATCATGATATATAGTAATCATATATCAGTGGCAGGAAGCTGTGCTGCAATCCCAAAGGCACGTGGTTTGAGGCCACCAGCTGCTCCACAGGAGAAGGATGGGCAATCTCTTCCCATGCAATTCACCACCTCTGAAAAGCCACCGGAGGGTTAGCTATGGGCCAGTTCTGACTCTACAGTACACAGCATATCATGATATATAATAATCATATGTCTTGATATGCAATATTCATACATCATATGACATATTTATTAGCATTTTTAGAATGATGATATTGTTGATTGCCGTCAAGTCAAGCACAACTCATAACTATCCTATGAACAAAAGGCCCGAAGCCTATGGTCATTTCTCCAAGTTCATGGTTTCCAGAGGCATGTTGTTTAGTAAGTGGATGCCACTCCTGCTTCTAAACCAGAATCAGCCTGGGAGCTCCACCAAACACTGTCCACAGTGGGTAGCCTTTATCGTGTTTGGCACATCTATGGCACAGTTTTTCCATTATGGCATTTGAGACCCAAATGGCACATGGGTCAGTGTCATAGCAAACACAGATTACCTCAGCACAGCAAATTGACCAGATTGCTATTTGACTTAGAAGAATGTTCCTCCAAAATAAAGTAATAAGTGGTTAAAATATAATGTCTCGGACCCAACTTTTAAATATAAGGGCCTTTGAGGAGGTCTTATTGACTCTAAACAAGAAGCTTAAATGAAAGCAACAAAACAGTCCAGATAACTTATTCCTAAATCATTCAAGAGGCAAGAGAATTTGGAACACAGCAGTAAAGCTCTGAACACACCTCTTCAGTGGCATGAATGTCAGAAGAGTCACCTGTAGAAGAACTTTAGTCCAGAGCTCTCTCCTTGATGGAGAAAGACAGTCTAGGCCCAATTGCAGCCTAAGGAGAAAAGCCAGTTGGCTTGCTTTTTCTCGTAGCCGTCCTAGAGCCGACCTTTGCTCCTTTTCTTCCTTCTGCTCTTCCTATCACCTTCTTTCTCACTTTGTTCATTTGTTTCTTTGTTTGTTTGTTTTTTGCTGCCTCCTGTCTCTTCACTTACCTCAGTCTATTCTCCTTCTCCTCTGTCTCCGTATCCCACCCCCACCCTCACACATGCACACCCCTCTGCTATTGTTTGTAGCAGCCTTAGAAACCACTTCTCACTCATCTTTCTGAGTAGAATTCTGGGCAGCTGTGTCCCTATTATGATAATGATGTTCATGACAGGATGATGAAGGGCAATAAGACCGAGAATTTTCAGAGATGGTTTCAATCTGTGCTACTCCAGTGTGAAGTCTCTGGTGGCCTAATGGTAAGAAACTGTACTGCAATCCTAAAGACACATGGTCTGAATCCACCTGCTGTTGTGCAGGAAAAGGATGCAGTTTCTTCCCATCCAATTTACAGCCTCTGAAAACCCGCTGGAGGTTCTTCTACGGGTTGGTTCTGACTTGACAGCACATGACAACAACAGCATCAGCATCAACTAGGCACAGAGCCTTTGATCCCACTCTAGACCTGCAAAATCCACATCTTAAGCAGATTCCCTAGGTGATTCTGATGCATATTCAAACACTTCACTAAAAGCCTCAAGTTGATGAGTGAGGCGGAAATGTAAATCCGACCCACTCAAACCAAAACCCACTCTCATCAAGTCCATTCAAGCTCTTCCTCACTCTATAGGACAGTGTAAGAACTTCAGACTCATAGTAACCCTCTAGATCAGAGTAGAACCCGAAGAATTCCTTCCCAGGCCATACATCTTTATTGAAGCAGACTGTCCCATCTTTCGTCTGTGGAAAGGCTGTTAGGTTTGAACCATCAATCTTTTGGTTATATCAGCTTGTTCTACCATTTTAACCACTGTTGAATCAGGGCTTCTTTAATCAAATCCAATCAGTAAAAGTAACCTGAAACCCATGGCAACCTTAACTATGTATGTAAGAGTAAAATGTGTCCCTTAGGGTTTTCAGCACCTGCTTTTCTGGAAGTCAATCGCTAGGGCTTACTTCTGCAGTGCCATTGGGTTGACTCGAACCTCCACCCTTACAGTTATCTTCTGAGCACATGGATATTTTCCACAGAATCTTGAATTCATCATAGTATAGCACATAAAGAGTCTGGGCAAGCTTAGAAGGCAGAGTTAGGGAGCCTTTACCAAGGAGTTGAAGAGTAGAGGTTAAAACTAATTGGCGACAGAATTTTGTATGGTTCTCCTGGAATCATCAAAGAAGAGTACGTGAAGGTAAGGGAATGATGGAAGAGAAGGTTGCCCTTGGAGGAGAAAGCACAGATGGAGACTGGAAGGTTAAGAACAGATTCCTGAGAGGAATGCCCATGCTGAAGAATACAATGCAGTTAGTAAAGTGTTATCTTTGAAGAAAGTAAAATAATAGATATCTGCATACAGAAACTTCCAGTTGGTCTGAATTCTAATTGTTTGGGAATCTTTTATAATTTGGAGAAGAATTTCGCTCAGTGCTTATTATGAAAATGGAGATATGTTACACAAATAAGCATTGCATGTGAGATCTAAGAATAAATTAAAGATTTTTAAGGCAGTTTGATACTTATTTACAGGTGCTACTGATGGGGGAGGCTTACTAAAACCAGTCTCCAGGAACCTTCTTGCTAATCTTGCTTATGTGTGCTCTGAGGACACCTTGAGGGGGGACACTGCGCATAGACTAGTATTGCTTTCCATCATCTGGTGGAGTCAGAGAGAAAGGGGGGCGGGAAGGGAAGTAAGGAAAGACAGGGAGAGAGAGAGAGAGAAGCCTTGCAGTGTTCCAGATACTGTATTAAGCACTTCTTACCTCTCTTCAGTTAACACTCACAGCAATGCTACAAGGTGTGGACTATGCCATTTCTTTCTATATTTTATAGATAATTTCTCTGAGGCACAGAGAAATGAGGTCACTTTGCCAGAGTCACACTGCTAAAAAGTGGCAGGGCTGGACTTTGAATCCTAGTGACTCCCAAGTTCCTTTTCGTCACTACTTATTATGCTGTTTTAGCAATTCTTTCTCTTCCTCTTTCCTTCTGTATTAGCCAGAATAAAAGAAAAATAAGAGAAAGTAGGCCAAAGGGTGGAGTGATACTTGGAGGGAAAGCAAAGACTAATTTCTCTGAAGGAAAAAAAAATATTAATAATTAAAGGTAGGCAAATAAATTGCAAGGTGATTTTTTAAAAAAATGTACATACATGTGTTCGCTCTGTTTTTAAAATTCTTATTCAATTAAACAATTCTAACATTTCAATCTGTGCTGACAGCAACATCATGGTTCCTTCTCTCAGACTTTGGTTCAGTTACATGGACTTTAGTAAATTAAAAACAGGGTCTCCTAGGCTTTGCTGCCTGTAACATAAGCTGCGGACTCCTGGATGTTATTCTGCTCCCTGGCCTTGTGCTCTGAGGAAGGGCCCTTGGCAGTAGCGTTATTGCTGACTTGGTTTTCTCCTCAAGACCTTCACTTTGGGAGGAGATGTGTCTATTGACGCTGGCAGTTTGGAGGAACTTGAAGATTTCTTGGTGGAAGTGTTCCTTCTCAGAGGTAATGGCAGCCCCATGACATGAACAACGAATTCTGCGTGGATTAGCATCACTAAGTTGGAAAAGATACAAACCAACATGGAAACGTATGCTGTGGAAAGGTGAATGAACATGGGCATTTTCCATTGCTGCTGAACAAAGGAATCTGGAAAGAGGTGATTATAGAGCAAAACTAAGGAAGAAAACAACAACACCAAACTAAGAAAGAATAACATCTCTTTAGTTCTTTGGAGCTCAGCTATGCAGCAATCTCACCTTCTAACTCAGCCATGCTCCAGGATATAGGTCAAAGTGATTGGAGAGACACCAGACAGAAGAACAAACCACACACAGCTTGCTTGTAAGAAAGGAACAACCATTAGTTTTTTGTTGATTTCTGACTGTTAATTATCTCTAGGACGATGTTGTTACATGCTGTCCAGTCATCTGTGAATCATAATGACCCTATGTACAACAGAATGAAACCCTGACAGACCTTGTGTCCTCTTTTACAACCTGTTCTGAAGCCCCACTTTTGCCTTCACTGTGCCGATCTGTCTCCTTATGCATCTTCTCCTTTCCTTACTCTCCACTTTTTCATGTACGATGTCGTTTTCCAGGGATTAGTTCCACCTGAGAACATGGCCAAATTATGTGAGATGAAGTCTCACCACCTTCATTTCTAAGGAGCATTCTGGGTGTTCTTCCTTTGATTGTTGATTTGTGACTTGATTCAGATGCATCAATTCTTACTTTGTCTTCCTTATTCATTGTCCGACTTGTACATGCATATGAAGCAATTGGAAATATCATGGCTTGAACTAGGTGCACCTTAGTCTTTAAACTACATTCCTGCTCTTTAGCACTTTAAAGAGACGCTTGGCAGCAGATTTGCTCAGTCCTGGAGAAGACACCCTTGCAGTAGTTCATGTTGTTTGTTGTTGTTGTACCATAGAGTCATAATCAACTCATAGCTGACCCTCCAGGGCTTTTTCAAAGGCAGTAATCCCATGGTAGGAGATTGCTCATCCTTTTTCCATGGAGCAGCTAGCAGAATCAAACCGTGTGCCTTCAGGAATGCAGTGCAGATTCTTACCACTAGGCCGCCAGAGGCTCATAG